TATATATATATATATATATATATTGTATTTAGGGGTGTTCAAACCGAACCGGAAAACTGCATCAAACCGAAAAACCAAACCAAACCGATTAAAAAATCTGACTAGATTTGGTTTGACTTGGTTTGGTATTAAGTAAAAAAACTCGAACTAAACCGACATATAAATATATAAATTTTATTTATATTTTTAAGACTTTATAGTGATTTTTCTTTAGAAAATGTAGAAATATTTGGGATACTCTCATGTATTAACCTTGAAAACGTAAATTAACGAAAAATTATTGTTAGACAGACTAAGAAAATAACTATCATGTGTTACTAAAAAAATTCTCCCATTAGAATATTTTAATAGACCATATGTTTGTCAATTTTTTTCATATTTACTACATTACTTATTAAAGCTTTATCTATAATTTTAATAAAAAGTAAGATTGAAATAATATTCATGTAATAAAAAAATCCGAAAACCTGACAAAACCAAACCAATCCAAACCGATAAAATTGGTTTGGTTTGGTTTTGATAAAAACCGAACCAACCCAGTCCGTGTGCACCCCTACTTATATCCGAGACATGAAATGAAGTATCGAATTTATGACATTCCTAATTGGAGAATGATGTTACACAAACTTGGATTCTGTTTGAAGGGTCTCTATCTAAGTCACATTTCTTACATTCCCTTTTAAGCTTTGTTTCATTCTTATGGTGACAAAGTTGTATCCCCCACCAACACTAATTCATAATGACAAAATTCCAATTAGCCATAGCCCATAGGGCTCATAGTCTTTTTCCATTACACTGACCATCATGACCTATACTGCTACACAAAGGTGGATGGCGGAAGGGGTGAATTGTGTATGGATTCAACTTAAATGAAATAGTCTCATTCCCCCTTTCAATTTAGATGAGATGACTCGGCACGAAATTTAAGGGGAAAAAAAAAGATTTTTAAAACTTGTGGAATTAAAAGCTTAAGGGGTAAAACTTGTGTGGGGCCATGATATTTGTGTGGTTATGAAAGCCTCTCGTTAAAGGCAAAATGGGCAAAATGAAGAGTTTAAAGTTGAATTATTTCCAATTATAGAAATATATCATTCTTTTTGGAACGGACTAATAAGGAAAATGTGTCATCTAAATTGAAACAGTGAGAGTAGTATTTTGAACCCGAAACATATATGCATGAAAAATTACTGTAGTTTCACATATATTAACTTTAAATCTTGAGTCTAACTCTGTTGCTACACTTAGGTTCCTCATAGGTTTTTGCTTACAGTTAATTGAGCCATCATAATAAAGGGAAATGGAAAATTAATCTTCTTGTTTTTTCAAAAATATATTCATGCAGGTTTTGGTTCTCCTTGCAATTATATTACGACATATCTTAGGGAAAGGACAGGAAAAAGGAGCATAAAGTTTCCAGGATTATTACTATAGTCAACCAAACCATATTTTTAACCTTGGGTATATATGGAGGGGACAGATTGTTAAAAATATATAGTAGGATATGTAATAATGTAAGGAATTCTTCACCACGCTTTTTACCACATCTGTCCTCTTAAATTCCTCTGTGTTCTCAGGCAGTTAAAGTGAGCATGGAGAATTTTTTTTCACCCTTCGTTTCTTTTCTATGTAAATATTTTTACCCTAGCATGCACTAAATACATGGACCTCATTACCCACTTGGGAAATACAAGAATAATTGCATGGGAAGAAACATTTTATATTGTTACTACTAGTAGTAGTACGTACTTTTGAAAAACCATTAAGAGTCAAAGAGGGCTCCCCAAAGTCCTAGCTCACACAATTCCCGAAAGCTGATCATCCCCAGTCCTGCTTTGCAGTTGCAGTCATTTTCGTTGTATGTGCGTTTCGAATTTAAATTTGACGGGTTAACCTTTATATTTTACTCATTTTACTTTTACAGTTATGGGCTAAGAAATTAATATTTGTTGAAGTTTTAGTGTCTTTCACACGTATATATACGCGTCGGGTAAAAATATTGTATTCAGTCATGTTGCATCCAGCTTGTGCAGAGTTAGAGGCGAGTTCAGGATTTGATCTTGGGTTCAACTTTGAGAATCTTAAATTGAATACGTTGTTTATATTTTAAAGTAAGGGTTTAGAATTTAAATTTTGTTGAAATTCTAGTAGTGTTTTTAATGCATATTCATATTCTGTGTGGAAGTAGTGAGTTTAGCTAGACCCTATATAAAAAGAGGTTGCATCTGCCTCTCTGCTTGTTGTACCATATATATGTACATTTTTTACAATATGTAGAGAAAAAACAGAGGGTCTTATATAAAATCACAGAATAAATGCATAGTCTTTTTGATTCCTTTTGCAGGCCTAGTCTATCAGCAAATCATCAAACATAGGAACTGAGTTTTAGACAGTGACATGGATGGATACTCATGTCCAAAAGCTCAACGTAACAAAAAGGGTAGTGGAAATGGAAATATCCCTTCAAGAAATGCCATCACCACGAACGGCAAGAACCACCGGCACACGGTGGTGGACGAAGATGATGGTGGAGATCCGATTGAATGCAGTGGGAAATCCTGTAAGGCATGCACCGGCAGCTTAATCGCCGATTGTGTAGCGGTTTGTTGCTGCCCCTGTGCTGTAGTGAACATTTTGGCACTAGCATTTTTCAAGATTCCTTGGATGGTGGGAAAGAAATGCTTGCGAATGGCGAAAAAGAAGAAGTTGGAGAAGAAGAGGAAAGATGACAAGAGTTGCTGTTACAGTGCTGACCGCGTAATGTATGCGGACACTGTAGAAGAAGAAGGACAAGTAGGGACATTGGGAATGGTAAATTCCCAATTTGGGGAGGAAGAGTTAAAGGACAGTTTTCGTGCAAGAATTGATGCAGAAGAAGTTTGGTTAGAGTTGTATCGAGTTGGTCATATGGGTTTTGGCAGAGTTTCTTTCACAGGAATTAATTCTTCTCAAGGTAAGGCCAATTAGGTCAAAAAATTTGTGACAGTTGTTTTCTTTTTCCTTTCTTCAAGCATCTGGTTTCGGAATTAATTGACCCGACTCATCTGGATTTGCTCCATAGAAAGCCTATTATGAGGGTTTTAACGCCATCTTTCAAAGAAAATACATTTCCAGGTTTGAGGGTGAAGGAAATCTTGAAACTGTTTTCGGTTCAGGCTTGAGGACAAGATGCGCTTCCAAATACAGAATTTACCATTTAGCCTTGAGACTGAATATTGGTGAACCATGATTACAACTGCAAACTACTGTGCCTCAGTTTCAAGTCGAAACCATGAATTTTGAAAGAAATTAAAGAGGAATATACTAGTACTAGTTTAGTATGTTAGCAAGATTAGTCTAACACTTATCTCTTTCGATGCCATTTACATGTCAAAAAAATCACATTGTTTCTTCTTTGTGAATTGTACAGTTAATATTAGTAATGTTTTCTTGGAATAACATTGCCAATTACTCATTTTGTCTCTTTGGTCTAATTGGAAAGGGGTGAATTTGATTGAAAAATGTGTGGGTTTTTTAAGTATTAATGCTCAAAAGAGGGTGAATGGGGAATGGAGGAAAATGAAATATTTGAGTTTCATTTGAGATTTCCTCCTTGATGAAGGGACATTGTCGCATATTGGAAGATGAAGAGGTTTTTATGGGTATATAAGTAATTGTTCTTCTAGCTCTTAAAGAGTTGAGAAGAAGGCAAGTCTCGCGCCGCCGTCGTCGCTCGACTTCGGCTTCGGTCAAATGATTGATTGATTAATTTTTTGGACCAAATTTATTTGTTAATAATAAATATTAACACAAATATTATTAAATATCCGTTTTAATAACAGAATATTAATATTAAATATAATAATATTAATAATAAATCCAACCGTTTTCCATTTTTCTGTTTTCAGTTTTTGTAACAGAAAATTAACCACCCTCTTCAACTCTCCCGGTTTATTGTTAGTAAATAGCAATTTATGTTATGGCATTTATGCTATGGTCGTTTTGCATAAACAGCCATTCTGAAGAGTTGCACCTCTTCAGCTTTCAGCCAAACATTGGCTATAAATACAAGTTCATTCTCTCAGAATTTCCATATGATTTTTTGAGTTCTCCTCCTTTCTTCTGCATACTTTTAACTTCAAAGAAAGCAACAGTAAGTGTGATTTGCTACCGAACTTTGTGTTCGCTGAAACACTAGGGTTTGAAGTACCGCTACACCAATGTATAATTCGTTCTATCCTGGGAGGAAATAATCCATAATCTTGGGTACTAAGAGGGGATTAAATTCCTTAAGGAAACACTGTGAATTCAGTGGGCTCGGATTAACTTCTGTTTCGTTTATATTTCTATTTATGTTATTTTATTTTCTCCAGAATTATTTTACAAATACAATTTACTAATAAAATGAGGCCAATTATCTCTTCTCTTTTCTTTAATCATTTTACAACGTATTGCGATATTGGTAATTATCCAGATACCTGCTAACCTTTCCTTCTTTTACTATTTTACCTTGACTATTTATTGAGTATCTTCTATCTCACAGGTATCGGATAAATCCACACATAAAACTTAGGCATTTGAGAAATTAAAATCATCCGGCATTGATTTTGTTGCCAATGAGATTTTGTAATATTGTATCATTATAGGTTCAATAAAGCTGTACTCGTATCTAATTTTATATTGTGTGAAAAATGAAGTACCAATTTGTTTTATCCAAAGCTTCTCAAAGCTCTTGATACCCTTTCTTTTTAACCTTGCATTTGTCCCTTTTTCGGAAAATCGTGGGCTAACTAGCACAAAATCACATACAAAGCAAATAGAGAAGAAAAATCAACACAAGAATTTAACGAGATTCGGCTAAACCTAATCCTCAGTGCAAAAGTAGAGAGACTTTTTCACTATAAATAAGAAGAAAAACGCATTACAATCTATATAATCTCCAACTACATCCATATATATAGAACCCAAATAGTCCAAAACCTATAAGAGCATAAGCAGGATGTCCAAATATCAGCTCCACTTTTCCATCCCTCATGTGAGCATAAGCAGGACGTCCAAATATCCTCAAATTTGAATAATTAGCAGGCGAAGCGGACCATACCTCAAAAGAAGTTTTAAACTCAATAGTTGTGGATGAAGATATGTTGACCAGATGTGAGCACGTGATTTTTGTTTTACGCGACAATCGCTCCAAAAGAATTAAAAAATAATAACAAATGGTCCTGCTGTACAAATTTGGATTTTACATGGCACTTTGTTAATTATTTATGATTTTTGCCCATTTTTATTAAAACAAAATACAAAATGTATGTGTCGTGATTTGTTGCCTTGTTTAATTTTACCTACTTTTAACATTTTATACGCGTGAAATAAATATGTTAAGTGTTAATTAATGGTGTCTAGTTTTATTTAATTAGGTTGTGTATTTAGGAAATTAGAAATAAAGAAAAAGAGGGTAAAAATTTGTTTTAAGTGAATTTGGGTCGTGCCCATTTCAAAATCTGAAGCCCAAATGAACGGCCCAAGCCACCAGTCCGAACAGCCCACCCCCAGGCCACAAAACGACGTAGTTTAACACCAAAACTACGTCGTTTCAATGCCGATCCATCTCAACCATTCAAACCAAACTGATCCAACGGCCAAGATCTCACACCCCGTACCCACTAACAGACCCGACCCGTCTCACCCGGACCGACCCCAACCCATTACCCTCGAAACGACATCGTTCCCCGTTAGTTGAAGGATCCTGGCCCTTCATCACGTCTCATCCAACGGCCAGGATCCACCTATCCACTAACTATATAAACCCATAACCTTACCCTGCCCCCCCTATCCGAACCCCAGCCTTAGGTCACCTTCGTCCTCATCCCTTTCCCCTCCAAAACCCTAGCCGCCCCTGTATTCTTCACCATGAAAGCCGGCGGCATGGACGCCGGTAACCCCACCCTTAACACCATAG